CGTGACAGGACAAAAAATTGATAAATTGAAAAAGCACAGGAATTTCGTGAATGACACCTAGGACCCGAGGAAGAACAAGAAAGTAGAGACGACCTAAATACAAGAAGCCAAGAGGAACAACTCTCTGGAGAAAAAGAATCTGATTCACACTCTGAACCCCAAAATCTTAGAGAAGAAGGGAAAGGCAACAGACTAAGAAAAGAGAGCCTAGAACAAGAAATGAAACGAGAAATGCCTCACACAGTCAGTGACACTGATAGAAAAATCACTTTATTTTCAGTCAATATAAATGGTTTAATTCTATCATCAAAAAGAAAACAGATATTTGAGAAACTTAAAAAACAAAACGCTGACATAACTTGTATCCAAGAAGTGCATATTCCAGACAATCAAGCAGACCTCTTAAAGAATATAAATTTGGGTAAAATGTACTCGGCACTTGCAAACAAAAAAAAGGGGGTATTGTAGTATATGTAAAGGATTGGTTGCAACATAAAAAAATATACAAAGATCAAGAAGGGAGAATGCTCTTTATAGAAATAAATGTAAATCAGAAAAAGATGTTATTAGTCACAATATATGCCCGGAATACAAACCAAAAAGACTTTTATAATAGGCTTCACCATAAGATAATAGAATTTTAGTATGCTAATGTATGCATTGTAGGAGACTATAATGCAGTCCCAGACAAAGATTATAGAACTTCAAAAAAAAAAAAAAAAAGGAAAGGAAAGGAAAGGAGAATACTCCCTTTGTCTTTTAATAATATGGTAAGAGAACTTAACTTGAAAGATGTGTGGAGAGAATTAAATCCAAATAAAAAACAATATACCTTTTTTTTGAACCCCCACCACTCTTGGTCCAGAATAGATCAGATATGGATGGACCCCGGGTTAATGGAGAATATTGAAAGGATTGAGATTTTGCCAAATCTATGGGCTGACCATAATCCCATTCAAATTAAATGGAAAGGAAAGAGAAAAATTGGAAGATGGACATTTAACAATACTATATTAAGAGATAAAGAATATATTGAAATGATAAAGAATTGAACGTATTTTTTGAAATAAACAAAAGAGAACATACCTCTCTACAGAATCTTTGGGATACGGCCAAAGCCTATGTGGGAGGTCTAACTATTGTTTATAGTATTAAAAAGAATAAAGAAAAAAGACAGCAACAAAACATATGGAGGGAGAAACTGAAAGATTTGGAAATAAGTAGACAAAAGGACCCAAACAATTCAAACATTAAGAAAGAAATTGATCTGGTAAAACATAAAATAAATTTAAATGTACAGGAAGATTTGGCCTGAAAAATTAAATTAGCAAAACAAAATTATTTTGAAAATGCAAATAAGCCGGGGAGGTGGTTAGCCCATAAAATTTAAAAAGAACAAGAAAAGAGAACGATTGTAGCTCTCCAAGATCAGGAAGGGAAATTATGCACGCAGACCCAAGAAAAGAAAGAAATTGCTAAGGAGTTTTTTATGAAATTGTATAAACAGGAAGAAATACCAGAAGAATCTATTGATCAATATTTGAATGAAAAGAACTTGCCCGAAATTACTGATGAAGAGAAGCAAAATTTGAATAATAAAATATCTATAGAAAAAATTAGGAAGCCAATTGGAACACAAAAAGCAAATAAGACCCCTGGCCCAGATGGAATTCCTTCGGAATTCTATAAGGAATTCCAAGAAGCAATAGAGATGAACAATGGCTTGTACAATGAAGCCCTGGAGAATGCTAACATGCCTAAATCATGGTTGGAAGCATATATTACCCTTATTTATAAAGAACAATCAGACCCACAAAAAATCAAAACTATAGACCAATATCACTTTAAAATGTAGATTACAAAATAATGGCTACAATATTGGCGGAAAGATTAAAGAGAGTATTAAGTAGAATTATCCACACTGATCAGAATGGCTTCCTCCCCCATAGGCAAATAAAACCAAATACAAGAACCATTATGGATATATTAGAATATTATGAAGTATACTCCACCAAGACAATGGCATTGATATTTTTAAACGCCCAGAAGGCTTTTGACAACCTGAATTGGAGCTTCCTTATTAAACAACTGATAGGCATGAAATTTGGTGAAAATTTTATAGGATTTATTAACACAATTTATAACATGCAAACCACAAAAATATTAATAAATGGGGAAAACACAGATACCATAAAGATAAATAAGGGAGTAAGACAAGGCTGCCCCCTAGCTCCTCTACTGTATATATTGGCAGAAGAGTAGTACAAATTAGGCAAAATCAAGAGATTAGAGGACTAAAAATTAAAAAAGAGGAATATAAACTCCAGGCATTTGCCGATAATATGGCATTTATATTAGAAGAACCCTTAGAAATGAGCCTTATACTACTAAGAGAAATAGAAGAATATGGAAACGTGGCAGGGTTAAAAATTAACAAAGAAAAAACAAAAGTGTTAACAAAAAATGTACAAAGGAGCAGAAGGAAGAACTAGCAAATAAATTAGGTGTGCAGGTGGTAAATAAAGTAAAATACTTAGGGATCTGGTTGACTGCTAGATGTTCGTCGATTAAAAAAGATAACTATGATAAGTTAACGCAAATAGTTAAAGATTTAGATAATTGGGCCAAATTGCAGTTGTCGCTATTGGGACGTATTTTGATAGTAAAAATGAATATTTTGCCAAAACTGTTGTTCCTGTTTCAGACAGTGCCAATCAAGTTGGAAAAGAATTTTTTTTTAGAATTAAACAAATGTATATCTAAATTTATATGGCAGAGGAAAAAACCCAGAGTGAAATATAAATTATTACAAGATGCCAAGAAAAAAGGAGGATTTGGCCTTCCAGATTTTAAATTATATTATGATGCTGCTATAGTAAACTGGCTTAAGGATTGGGTTAAATTAGAAAATAGAAGGTTATTGAAGGTTAGAAGGTTTTGACCTCCAACTTGGCTGGCACGCCTTCATGTGGGATGGAAAATCTAAACAACATTCATATTTCCAAAGGCACCATGTGAGAAATGTGTTGTTCAATATCTGGGGAAAGATTTAAAAAAAACACTACTCAAAGGTTCCACTGTAGCTATCTACATTGGAAGCAGTCACATATCCAAATCTATTGGATTATGAAAATATTGTCAGGTATATGATACTTGGAGAGCTTAAAAATAGGAACCAAATACAAATTCAAGGAAAGGAGATAGCATGGTGGCCCTTTGCACAAATCAAACCCATTATAAAAAAGATAGAGAACAATTTGGCTTTAATATGACCCCACAATAATTAGATAAAATATGGCTAGGAGAGGAAAAGAAAACAATTAGTAAAACATATCTTTTGTATTACAAATTAAAAGAAGAAATAGTCACAGAATCTGATAATTTGGGCTAAAAACGTGGGTCATAGTATTGAATTAGATAAGTGGGAACACATCTGGCAAACAAATTACAGATTAACCATGTCAGTCTCGTAGAAAGAAAACTTATACAAAATGGTTCATCGCTGGCACCTACCTCCTGCGAGACTGGCTGAGATGTTCCCCAACCTACCACCCAACTGTTGGAAATGTAACTACACACAAGGAACATTATTTTCACATGTGGTGGACTTGCCCATGTGCTCAGAAGTTTTGGAGAAATATTAGAAATTGGATTTTAAATATAACAAAACAAAATTTAAATCTTGAACCCAAAACCTTTCTGCTAAGTATGATAGATTTAAACATGGAGAAAAAATATCAATATTTAATTTTGCACATCATAACTGTGGCCAGAATAACCTACGCACAAAACTGGAAACTGTCTTTCATTCCTTCAGAGGATATGGTAATTAAAAAAATACATGAATATGCTGAGGTGGATAGCCTAACCAAATTGTTAAAAAATAAACAAGATAATGACTATTATGAAATATGGAACATTTGGTATGATTGGTTAAAGAAAAGGTAATATTTGCTATTTGGATAAGTTATGGAAATGACAGAAGACGTGCATTTAATTATAAACTATATAGAGAAATTAAAACATTAAAAGAACGAAGGAGTTACTGTAATAAGGCAGATCACGTCAATGATAAAGAAAAAAAAATAACCATTGCTCAATATATGCTGTAAAATGTGTGTGTGTGTATATATATATATTGTGTGTATATATATTGATTTGTCTGTTTTAAATGTATGTCAAATGTTTTTTTCTAGAATTTTTTTTTTTAAAGAAAGTGATGGCGCATCCACAATTTCTGGAGTTCCACTGATTAATTGTTCTGTTAGGGAGTTTCTTCTTAGTTCTAGGTTGGATCTCTAATGAGCTTTCATCCATTACTTCTTGTTCTGCCCTCAGGACCTTTGGAGAATAAGATCCTCTCTTCTCTGTGACAGCTTCTCATGTACCAGAGGACTTATCATAACCTCTTTGTTAGACTAGAGATGTCTAATTCTCTCAATTGTTCATCCTATGGTTAGTCTCCAGACTTGTTAGCATCTTTGTTGCTCTTCTCTATACTTTTGAATGTAAGTGATCTCAATGCTCAAAGCTCTACTTTGACATTGGAATTATCTGGTTCCATGCCTTATAGAATAAATAATTAAACCTAGATCCTTGTAGTATTGTGAAATAATAGACCACCAATTTATTGGGGGTTTTGGTGCCCCTACCCAATCATTAACAAGTACCAAAACCAAACTAATTACATTTTGGTTTAACATTGTTTTTTGCTCAGGAACTGGCAACTGGGGAAAGTAGACTAATCATAATGAGTTTTGAGAGATAAATATATCCATGAAGTGTTTTTTTAATCAATTTCTAAAGTTTCTGCTATAAATCACTGATGCCCAATTTAGTAAGATAGTCCGGCATTTTTGTCATGCTAGGATTGCGCTCTTGTTCACTCCATATTAAAAAACAAAATCAGAGCAAAGTAATTGGAGAAATAAAACTTTTTTTTTCAGTTGCAGGTTTGATATTACTATTTTTTGATCTTATTTTACTTAATGTGTTTGCAGGATGGCTGTGATTTCATGTGTCGTTCTAGACCACAGAATGTACCAGCTGCATATCGTGGTGTTGGTGATGACCAGCTTAGAGAGGAATCAGAAGAGCAAGATGACCACTTGCTGCCCATGTGATCTTTACCTTTTATTTGTGTATAGTTCTTAAACAAATGACATCCAGTCAGTTTTCCCCTCATCTAATTATCCTTGTAAGCCACTTGCTTTCACTTTAAATACCCATTATTCTGCACACTATTTTTCATATTTGTGATATAAATAAATTCTGTGCAAGTTTTATGAACATAAAGCTGTACTAAGGAGCTTTGGACTGACTACTCAGAACCATTTTCCAAAAGGGAAGGGACATGAGACGGTTTGACTATACGCAGAAAAGAAATAATCAATGGAAGAGGAAAGGGTTTGAAGTAATGCTAATTGATTTGAGCTACAGTGACTAAATGTACTTGCATATTTCCTACAGGCTTTATTCTTAAAAAACACTGATTTCTGATTTTCAGTTATGCAGTTATAATTTTTTTAATAACTGAGTGAAGCCTGTCCGTGTTTTTTCAGATCTGTGGAGACATAGTAGACCAAATGGAAATATATATTTTGTTCAAAGGAGAATAGTTCGTTAAGGGGAGGGGGGAATGTTAGCCAGAAAAGATGCTATCAGCAACATGTTAAAATGATCTAAATTTAAATGGCAATATTTTAAAACAGATATAAAAGAGCAGACTTTAATAATAACTAATACTGCTGTTTTAAATGCATTCTGTTTAAAAGCTGGTCTTTCATCTTTCATTACAAATAGGACAGTGCCAGCTGTTGCAAATTATATAAAACACAGAGTCCAACAATGAAAAGTTTTAACCAAAAAAGACAGGGTAGAAAACCTCAAAATCTGTGTGGACTATGTTTTTCTGATTCTGTTGAAACTATTTTAATGTTTGGACTAAATATTTTTTAAAACTGGTGAATGTTAATGCTTATATTTCTGCTTTTAAGTATGAATAGTGTCAAATCTGATCTGTTCCTACATATGCTTTAAAAAAAAAAGGACAGAGCATGACAGGTCTGTTTGCTTCAGGGATTTGCTTCCTTTTCTTTGGTGCATGTTGTACTGTTTCCTAATGCAAATTCTCAAAATTGCATATAAAATGCAATTAGGACTCCTGAATTCACTTGAACTTGCTGGGAATATTAGCTGTGAGGGGAAATATTTACATCTTTACTTGGTCTCTTCCCAGTGGAATTGGTGGATCTACTTGGAAGTAAAACTCCAGGCTATAGGCTGTATCTATTCTTACTCCTTTTACGAAGAGGTGCTGTAGCTGAGATAAGATTTGAGACATAGTATAGCCCTCTTTGCCAGGCTCTTTTATAAGAGAAAAGGAATGGGTTATGTCATTTTTTTCATAGTAAAGTTGAAAATATTTTGTATTAAAGAGATGCAACTTTTAACATTAAAAATGACTTGAAATTTCACAATATGTGTATGCTTAAATGTTTCCAAACAGTTTGTGAATTACAGCTTAAAGACATTTTAATTGAAAACAAACTCCTGATCTCAATGTAGTTTTGTGCTAACCTTTGGGAGACATTTACACATTTTACAGGTATAAATCAAATGAAAAGAACAAGGTTCAATGGTAGGAAATAGGGCTGGAACAACTCTAATGATAAATATGGGCTAAGTCTAGAAGCTGAAGCTGACAGATATATAATTCTTTCATTTGTTGAAAGCTGAAATAATTTGGATCATACTAGACATGAATATAGAAAAACAGCTTACTGATAGAACTGCACTTCAAGAAAGAAAACCTTTCAATGCTGGCACTGTAAACTCTTCTAGTACAAGGTGAGCTTTGCATTTTATAGGATGCCAACATTTCTAGTAGAAAATAAAATTTTCCAAGTTTTTCTGTTAAATTCGTATTAGGCTGCCTTGTCTATTCTTAAGAGATTTACATTTTGAAATAATTATTCAAATTAAACATACAGCTTTACAAGTTTGTTTCAAATATATTGGCAGAACAATGAAATTAAATATTATTCTAAATTGTTAGAATAAAAGTTCACTTAAAGATATGTAGATTCCAGAACAGGAATCTACATTAAAAGATATTTTAAAGATTTTGTGTGGATATACATTTTACTTTTACTAATAGATCAGAAAATCATTTCTAAAATTTAAATTCAGGGACCAATAACAAAGCTTGTGAGAATTCAAAACAAGCTGCAAACCTGATTGTGCAAAAGTTGGTGAGAAAAATCAGACAACAGGAAGATTGCAATATTGTTTATGAAGCATTCCTTTTACTGAATAATTTGCTTAATAAACAAAAATAAACAGACTTTGGACAGAAGATACAAACCCGATAGCAGAAAGTTTGTCCCATATGATGTCTCATAAGGGAAAGGGTAAGATACAAAAACCAAAGAAGACAATTTTTTTTAAAAAGCAGGATGAAACACTTGGAGCTTCAACAGAGTTGGATTCTCTTTTGGCTCTTGAGTAATTTTTCTCCAAATCCCACAAGAGACAAGTGAAATTAAAAATCTTTAAACCCTCTGATGTTGTTATCAGATGTAATGTTTTCTGGATAGTCCCATTAGACCTGGGCCAACTCTAGTCTTTAATGTTCAATTAACGTTCACTCCTGTATTCTATATGAAATCAATTTACTACTTACCTTCAGTCAATACTTCAATTAGAAAAGATGCCATTTAAAACATTTCTTTACTGTTCCAAACAGAAGCCTTTAGCAAGAGAAAAGATTCAGTACCAATTGGTCCCCTGAAAATTGAAACCATGTGGAAAGAACAATTCTACTGGGAGAAAAATATGAGAATCCAGCAACTTGACAGGAAGGATTCACAGCAGCTGCAGCACAGAACTGTTTTTTCCCTTTTTCCCCCAGAAAGAATTCATAGCACAACAGAAGATATTCTATGCTTTTGACAAGATGTTTCAAGGCCTCCAAGGGAATATTCCTCCCCAAGTATCACCATGACACAGGCTTGTAAAAGAATTCTTTTCTTCCATTTAGTGTATTCATTACAGCTAGGAAAAAAAAAATCTGCATTCCATGTTAGGTCTCTTTAAGAATGTTGATTTTGGCACAGATTTTGAGAGCTGGACCCAATTTGATATTCATGGCACTCATGAGATGTTCTTCTTTTAGCAGAAGCAAGGCCTGGCCATCTATCTCCTGGGACCGAAATTCCTCTGCAATCTCCTGGCAGCCTAATAGATTCAAGTATGAGAGAGAATTTTGTGAGAAATAGAAACAATATACATATTTAATATTGTTTATAGATTAACTCGATATTTGTAAGAATCAGAGTTTTATGCTCAAACATGATTTAAAAAGACTTGAGTCAAGCTTGGTTTCTTCAATATAACAGTGGCAATATTGAGGAAATAGTTTGCCATTGATGCCTTCTGGGAGGGTATGTGTTTGCTTCCTTTTTTACTTCTCAATCTATCAACCTGGGATTTATTATTCTCCCATCCAGTTCAGACTTGATTTAACTTTACAGATGTTAGCACCACACTAGGTGCTTCTACTTGCTGTGACTCATGTATCTTACACTATCTAAACCTGGCTCAAAAACAGTAACTGTGAGAGGGACCTTGGAGCCCTAATGGACGATCACTTAAACATGAGTCAGCAGTGTGTGGCTGCAGCCAAAAAAGCTAATACAATCATGGGGTTGTATAAATGGAGGCAAAGAATCCAAATCACATGAAATAGTATTGCTTTATAAATCCTTAGTAAGATCACACATGGAATGGTGCGTTACAAAAAAGATGTTGAGACTTTGGAAAAGTGCAAAGAAGAGCAACTAAGATGATTAAGGGACTGAAGACAAAAACACAAACAGCTGCAGGGTTTAGGTTTGGCTAGTCTAGAGAAAAGAAGGACTAGGGGTGACATGATAGCAGTATTCCAGTATTTGAGGGGCTGTCACAAACGAGGGAATCAACTTCTTTTCTAAAGCACCAGAAGGCAAGACAAGAAACTCTATGGGAACTAATCAAGAAGAGAAGCAACCTGGAATTAAGGAGAAACTAACAGTGAGGACAATTAACCAATGGAACAGCTTGCCTTCACAAGTTTATTGGTGCTTCATCACTGGAGGTTTTTAAGAAAAGACTAGATAGCCATCTGTCTGAAATGGTATACAGTCTCCTTGAGCAGGGGGTTAGGCTAAAAGACCTCCAAGGCCCATTTCAGCTTTATTATGATTATCTTAACACCCCTGCAAAGTTCCCATATTATTTCCATACAGAGATGAGAAGCATAGATAATGCTGCTGTCACTATCACTGAAAAAACTAGAATTTAATGAGATAAAAACATTTTGTAATATTAAAACATAGTTATTAAGTATGTTTACTACCTTGAGATATGTATAAAATAATAAAGGATAGAAGGATAAATAATATCCCCTTTCAGAGTTCCTAGATATAGGCAAATAGTATATCTGTTAGATCTATCTAAGAGAATGATATCTCCAACAATAACAGTTGCGTGGAAGGAAGGCTCCTTTTGTGAACTGCCTCCTCTAACACTTCTCTTTGTCCAGCTCCAACATTTTTAGGAGGGAGAGGGAGAAGTTAGGAATTTGCTAAATGTCATGCTGAACCTGAGAAAGAGGCAGCACCAAAGCAAGAAATCCAGTCTTTCTCACAATATAGGAGAATGTCATGTCAAATACAGTTACTATTTCAAATCTATCAATACCTTATTTGTGCCAATATTTAGGTGTCCAATATACAACCATTTACCGCACTCCTCTTCATGACATGGGAGAAAATATATCAGACTTGCCTTGTAAGGATGCAATGAACTCATATACTTCCTCCACACTCCAGCGGCTAGGATTGCTGGACAGGAAAACTGGATTGATACCATGCAAGTCAGAAATGGGCTGAGTCATGCTGGAATTGACAAGCTCTCGGTCTCCATGACTAGATCTCACTGAAAGAGGTCCTGGTGAAGTGGGGGAGAGTGTTTCATCATAACTAGAATTATCAGATCCTCTGCTTGAATCTTCTTGGCCCTGCAAATCCAAGCATCACAAAACAGAGCATGAAACTATACGAAGAAAAGAAAAAAGTATTGTAAAACCTTGTATTGGAAATAAAAAAGCATAGCCAAATAAATATATATCTCTACCCTATGGAACATCTTGGTGCCCACTCTTCTGGCTTTCTGGATGGGTGTGAAGACCTGGCCTGTCGAGTTGCATGGGGATCCATGCAGGAGTGGTACAAAACCCTGGGGGGTGGTTGGTGGCTTGAGTGTGAGATATTTTTTTAACCTTTTTTGGTAAGAATTTTATGGTTTTTATTATATATAAATTCACTACACTCATAATTTTATTGGAATGAACCAAAATGTGGATCATTGGCATATTTGAGAAACATTAAGAACTATACAAGATGCATATGGGAAATCCCATTCACCTTGGAAGCCTTTACGGATACTAAAGAGCAGAGGTGGTACTTAGCAGGTTCTGACCAGTTCTGGTAACAGCAATTTTGAGTAGTTCGGAGAAATGGCAAATACCATTTCTGACTGGAGATTTTACAGTATCCTTCCCCAGCCACGCCCACAGAACCGGTAAAAATTTTGAATCTCACCAATGCTAAAGAGGTAACCATAAAGACAATTTCAGAAGTTTCCTCTTTGCTTAAAGAATTAAATCCTCATAACTTTTGAATAAGGAAGAGTACATAGATTTTGATGGATTAAACTAAGTAAATGAAAAATTAAAAGAAAATATATAAATACATTTATTAACTTAATGAACTGAAATAGGCTTATACCTTTAATCGTACGTTTTCCCTGTTTCTCTATATCCTGTTTCTGTCCTTTATAACTTCTTTTCCTTTCTTTCTTCCCCCTCTTCTTCTCCCTCCCCTTTTTGACCCCTTGTCTCTCTAATTCTAATTCTCTCTTCTGTAATCCACTCTTCTGTTTCTTCCTAATATTGTAATTGCTTTTCAAACTGTTCTCTTTTTTTGGTTGTTTTTTCAAATCTTAAATTTTTCACTCTCTTTCCCCACTTTCCCCCCCCCCCACATAGAATTACTTGGTTATTTAAGATGGCTTCTTCTTTGTCCCGCCCTTCTTGTTCTAGACACATTTCTTGTTGTTTCTCATAGTTCAAGACCTCCATTTCTAAGAATTGAAATAGGAAGCCAAAAAAGCCTCTTCCTTCTTGTGCATCTTCTTTCTGTTTTTTAAGTTCCATTTTCAGTTCTTCCAAGAGTGATGCCATTTTAAACACTTTTAAACAACCACCCGATTGATTTTAGTCATTTAAGTCCAATAACCAAAAATCCAAAAATCACCAAATAATCAAAATAATCCAAAGCTGTTTCTTCTTGCTTCTTTTTTCCACTTTCTCTTCTTGGGGTTCTATTTATCTTGTTACAAAGTTTCAGTTAGAATGTATCTTTTAGGAATCTTATTAAAGTTTCACTGTTAATTCCTTTTACTTCCAGGTGGTCTCCATTTTTCCAGATCCCACCCTTTTATTTATTCCTTTTCTCTCCTTCTTTTAAAAATTTTTAAATGTCCAAAAATCTTTATTATCACTTTGACATTTTATTTTCAGCTTAGATGCCTATTAATGTCAAAGTGAATTTTTTTATCAATTTCTTGCTTAAGTCTCTTAGCTGTCAATATGGAGAAGGAAAGGGAAAAAAACCCAAATCTTTCCCCTTCCCTCTCTCCTTCGCCACTTCAAAAATCTTCTTTGGGAACAGTTATTCTTTATAGTTCAAATTCCAGGGTACCTTATATTGTTGCTTTTTCAGTTCAACCTGGTCAATCAAAACTTTCTCTTATCTTCCTCCTGCACAATCTTTTCTGGTCAAGTTCTTCTTTGAAGTGGCCATTTCTGACCATCGCTGCAACCGCTTTCGGGAAAGGGAGTAATGGCCAGCTGAGGAGGAGAGATGCAGCTCTCCTCAACCCTGCTGGCGGTCTCCCCCCTCTTTACCACCTCTACGGAGTGGCTTTTGCCCCGAATCCAACCAACTTGGGGTGTTCCGGGGGTGAGCACGGATCGAAACTGCATGATCGCGGATTTCAGTCTATCACTGAAGAAGCTCAAACCAGAAGTCAATAATAACCATAATATTGAAGGTGATCACATAATAGTAGAATTTGCTTCTCTATCTTAGCAAGCCTTCTGTCCATTATCTCATTGTTTACTTTTTAAGCATACATAATAATCTTAACTTCTAATATTTACTTGTACATACTGTGTTTCTCCAACAATACGGCCTCCACCAATAGGAAGACCCAGCATGTTTT